GCACTATGACGAAGGTAGACGTGCGGCTGCAGCGCGCCCGCCGCAGCGTGATCGTGCGACCCTCGGTCGTTCTTCACAGGCAATCGCAGAGCAGGTTGTGAATGAGCTTGCCTGTGGCGGGTGCCGGCACGGAGCTAAGTGCCTCGCCGCCCTCGCAGGAGGCACGGCCACCCTCACCACCCTCCAGGTCTCCAGGTATAGCTGTCCGTCGTAGCTCTTGCGTCCTGTCGCCGGCATGCCGCCGAACGTGCCGACGATCGTCGTCGCCGGCACCTCCAGCGGTGTCGGCAAGACCACGGTCGCCGTCGGGCTGATGCATGCACTGCACGCACAGGGATGCCGGGTGCAGCCCTTCAAAGTCGGTCCAGATTTTCTGGACGGGATGCAGCACGCGGCTGCATGCGGCCGTCCGTCCATCAACCTCGACGGGTGTGTCTGCAGCACCTCCCAGATCGTGACCGCAGCAGACACACCATTTTCCCGCCGTTCGCAGGTGGATGCTGGGTCGCAACGGCTGCCTCGCCGCCTTCCACGCCGCCGTCGCCGCCAGCGACGCCGACATCGCCATCGTCGAGGGCTGCATGGGTTTGCACGACGGCCGCGAGGGCGCCACCGACGACGGCTCGACGGCGCAGGTGGCCAAGTGGCTGCGCGCGCCCGTGCTGCTGGTCGTGGACGCGTGGAACCTGGCACGCTCCGCCGCGGCGATGGTGCACGGCTACCAGAGCTTCGATCCCGAGGTGATGCTGGCCGCAACCGTCTTCAACCGCGTCGCCGGCGCCGCACACGGCACCTGGATCGCGCAGGCAATGGGCAGCCACCCGGGCACGGCTGCAGTGAGAGTGCTCGGCTGCCTGCCACCAGACAAGCGACTCCAGCTTCCCGAGCGGCTTTTGGGGCTGCTGCCACCCGCCGCCGCCGTCGCCGCCGCGGCGGCCGCCTCCGCCACCGGCAACTCCGCCACCGGCAAAGCAGCCGGCGACGGCGACGGCGCAGCTGGCGACGGCGACGGCGCAGCTGGCGACGGTGACGGCGCAGCTGGCGACGGCGACGGCGCAGCCGACGCCGCGGGCGCGACCGGCGGCGCGCGACTGGCGGCGTTGCTCCGACTCTTCTCGGAACATGTCGACTTGGAGCAGCTCAGGTGGGTGGCCGCCACTGCCGAGCCGCCGCCGGCACCGCCGCCGGCAGCGATGCCGCTGCCGGCGGCGCCGGCGTCGGCACCGCTGCCGCCGGTGCGCGTGGCGGTCGCGCGCGACGCGGCCTTCTGCTTCTACTACCACGAGAGCCTGCGGCTGCTCGAGCGGGCCGGCGCGACGCTGCAGTGGTAGAAGAGACCCTCGTGGCAGGAGGCGCAGAGGGTGCAGTGGGAGTAGGCGCGACGCTGCAGTGGTTCTCGCCCCTCGCCGACGCTTCGCTGCCCGACGGCTGTGATGCGCTGTACCTCGGCGGAGGCTACCCCGAGCTGCACGCGCCCGCCCTCGCCGCCAACGGGCGGATGCGTTCGGCGGTGCGCGCCTTCTGCGAGGGCGGCGGCCTGGTGTGGGCCGAGTGCGGCGGCCTCATGTACCTCGCGCGGCGGCTGCTGCGCCGCCCTGCCGATGTCGCCGCTGCTGGCGAGGTTGTGCGCCTCGCTTGTGGCGGAGGCGGCGCTGGCGGGGGCGCAGGCGGCGCAGGCGGCGCAGGCGGCGCAGGCGAGTCTGGCGAGGGCGGGGCGGAGTGGCGGGGCGGAGGGCGGGGCGGAGGGCGGGGCGGAGGGCGGGGGGCTGGAGCACGCGATGTGCGGCGTGCTTCCGTTCGACGTGAGCATGACGGCGCGCCTTACTATGGGCTACTGCCACGCGGCGCTGCTGCCCGCCGCCGCGTCGCTGCTGCGCCTGCCCGAGGGGAGCCGCTTCCGCGCCCAGCAGTACCACTTCAGCGAGGCGACCGCCGACGGCCTGCCCGCGGTGATCGTCGACGCCAGGACCGGCGGCGGCGCGGGGCTGCGGGGCGTCGAACACCCCGCCTTCAGCGTGCAGATGGAGGTGCGTCCGCTACCGAGATACCGCGGTTTAGGGTGTAACAGAGCCTCGGGCGGGGGGGGGGGGGGGGGGGAAGGAAGTCCCCTGAAAACTTGGGCCCCCACCAAACCCGCCCGAGGGACACCACACCACACCACATTGTTCCCCGGAAACCACCCCCGCAAACCGGGCGGGGGGCGCCCTAAGCCCCCTCCGCAGGGGCAACGGCACCGGGTCCAGCCTCCCCTTGCCCCCCCATCCCCCATCCCAAAATGGGGTTGTGTTGTAAGCGCCCGGGGCGCTGGCTGCCCCCCAAGGCGCCATGGCGGGGGGGGGGGGCCTCCACGGGGGGGGGGGGGGCACCCTCGCCACCTAATGCCACTTTCACTTGGGGAGGGAAGGGGGCCTTGCCCCCGCCATTGTTGGGGCCGCCCGGGGGGGCCAGGGGGTCGGGGCGCTCCTGCCGTCGGCCACCAAAATGGTGGCGGCGGTTCTTGGCAAAGCGGGCGCCGCGGCCCCAATTCTCCGGGTGAGCGAGCATTTCCACTGGCCCGCGGCGGTGGTGGCGGGCAAACCCCTGGTGA